GCCGAGTGGAGCAGTTGTCATCCTGCATCTTTATCTATGGTATAAAAATTGTAGGTATGAACACAAAGTCAAAGTACCGATTATTGTTGTTTGCTTTTCGCACCAACTCAACGACAACATAATTCTGACAACTATTAAACCAGACATGATCAGCTACCACAAGCCAACAAGTCCTCCAAATAAAAAACAAGTTAACAAAAGTCTCCCATTAACACATAGAAGTGTTTTCCAAGGTGATTAAAAATGCAAACACTGTATGTTTTCCAAAATAGTCAGCACATCATATATTCTAGCCACATGATTCGTAGCAAATAGACTAAAACATGCAAAACAAATGAAGTTACACGTTGCGGAGCTGAGCTAATCTTACAGTGCCGTCACACTTTACTGTTTGTATCACTCACAATTCTCAAAAAAAACAACTATCCCTTTAAGGAGCATTTCATTGTGGATGGCCAAAGTCAGCACATGGGGATTGAACAACTAACATTTCAGCCTACAAACTAGGGGCCAAGCTGTCACCCTCAATCAACATCAGAAAGAGAAAGAAGTAAAGCCATTAGCAGTTTGAATCACAGATCCAGTTTGTGTCAATTAGACCAGAGGCCTCTCCGCTGGTTTATGTTCACACTGTGTTACATATTTATCAATTTATTATGTAATGCCAAAGTGACACTATTACCTATTGATCACAAAAGTTTATTTCCTTTGAGATGGAACATCTGCTGGAATTGATTTCATGATTGGTCGCTCTGTCATCACAGCCGGGGTAGGTTAGGCCACTGAGTGTGATGGAGGTAACAGACAGGAAGTTTGGAGGGCCATTTAGATGAGCAGGAGTGTCACCGGAGAGAAGGACAGCGGCAGCAAAGGGGGGGGGGGGCATGTGCCACACTGACACCTGGTGCTCCAGATGACAGCTCTGTGGCCAGATGGACCTTGTTACATGCACACACACGTACCAAAACATACCCACGCATGTACACTTACACACCAACACATACTGTACACATATTCACAATAACTGGCACATGGCCTCCACACACATTTTTACATTACTTTACGATTACAGCATATGCACAAGCAAGGACAAGGAAGATGTACATGTGGCCAGACACAAATGCTCAACTGAAGGACATACGTGTAGCTAAATGTGAAAAAACATTCACAATCTAGTGTTTTATCTAGTGAATTAGCCTTCCAACTGAAAGACTGGGTGATTGCATGGCTCTGGTGGACAGATTAAAGAGACCCTATGGTGCATGATTACCCTGCACATACCCACCGTACTCCTCACCACCTGTCATTTTTGTGCTTTTGGAGCCATCAGCCCACCAAAAAGTCCCCTGTACTATTTCACTTAAAGGGAGAATGATATTGAGGAATGAAGCAAAATATCTTCTCTGTGCTTTCAGATGTGAAACCAGAAATTTGTTTGTGATGTCTGCAGATCTTTCTAGTATTTCTTTTTACAGTTTTGCAAGCCACATTTTAGATCCCAAAAAGACAAACTTATGGCTTATTACTCTGGTTTCATACTTAGAGGTAATGGTTAACACGCCCACATTTCTCTCACTGCACTTAAGCTTTGTAGTAACTCTTTGTCTAATCAAATCCCTTTAAGCTTATTTTTTGGGGAAGTCTAAAGAATAACCAACATATCAATGACACATCATAACCACCACCCTCTTACCTCCAGAGCAGCAGAGGGCTTCTTCTTCAGTTCCTCACATTTGCGAAACTTGCAGATCTGGTGGCCTGTTTTGCGATTCCGGCAGCTGCTGCATTGCTCGCAGTTAATCCGCCGTCGGCAAGGTGGGCACATGCCGCAACGTTTTCGCTTCTTTTTACCGGAGTTGATAGCAGAGGCCAGCTCGCTTTGCGCCGGGTACTCGGCCAGGCCGGCCATGTGTAGCGCGCTGTCCGCCAGAAACACTCCAGCCGGCGTCATGATGAAAAGCCCCGGGTTGAAGGGGAAACCACCCCCTACTCCATATGGGAAGTCAACAGGACCACCTACGGCATCCGTGACAGACGTACCCTCCAAGTCGCTAGCCCCCGAGCCTGCATCTCCACCGCCAACTCCCACTCCCATGCCCCCAGGCAGGAGCATGTGCTCCATACCGGCCCGCTTTAATAGTGCTGCTGCCTGGGCAAAGTGCAGCAGGCCATTCTGTCCCTCCAGAACCTGTTCTAGGGTCCGGTCCAACTTGGCTGCTGTCAGTGCTGAGACAGTGGGCTGCGGCTGCGGGGGTGGCTGAGGCTTGGCCGAGTGGCCCTTAGTCTCACTGTTGTTCGTGTGTCCATTGGTGGTGGCAGAGGGGACTGCTGTATACTGGGAGAGGGTACGGGAGTTCTTAAGGCTCTTACTGAGGGGCTCACTGATGATGCCACTGCGGTTCCTGCGCTCTATAACAGGAGAGTCCTGTTTGCAGCTACTCCGCTCCTGGTCCTCTGTCCGGCCCCCCTCCGACAGCCCGCTAGACATGGTCCAGAGCGTACGTGCCTAGGTTGGGGGTGAGGGTGGAAAGGGGGCAGGGGTGAGCGAGGAGGGGGAGCAAAGACCTCTTCTCGGTCCCTTCTGTGCCCCGGTGAGAGTAGTGCCTCACCTCAATGAACCAATCAGCCAGCCGACAACAGGCAGGCCCCGGAGCCTTCTGCCCGCACTACAGCTCAGCCCTCATCCACGTTCTTCCATGGGCCATCTGGAAACTTTACACAGGGAGAGGAGAGAGGTAAATTAATACTCAATGATCATGTCACCAAAACACACAAGTTGTTAGTCAACTTGTACAAATCCAAGAAGAACTGAAACATGGAATCTTAAACCTGCAATAACCAGCAGTTACAGAGCAACATGTTCCAGTATTCACTCTTTTTTTTATCTCTGTTTTTGGTCTCTACCAACTGCTGTCTCTTTAGTTGCAAGATGTTCCATTGTGTTTACCAGCTAGTTGTGTCTGTCTGCTGTTCGTTGCTGAGCAGGTAGTGCACAGTGGGTTTTTTGAGCTTTCTCACTGAAAGGAGCTGTCTTGTGTGGCTGAAAATGACACTATGAGAGCAGTGAGAGTGTAGCAAAATGGTAAATCTAAATAATGAGCTGATAAAGCCCAATAAAGCTGAGGGGAGTCACAGATTTGGGTGATAATTCTCAATTACTACATTGACCCCTTTCACATTGTTTTATATGTTGTCATTGTAAAAAGTCAGTTATAGCCACTCTATATTAAGATATTAAGTTCAGATAGATGAAGAAAAAAGCCCAAGATCAGAGTCGAAAGAGCGAATTAACAAACCATAATCATGATCAATGCAGAAAAATATGCATAAATATAATAACGTTGCATACTTTAAAATTATGCAAACTAATAAACTAAATACTAAAATGAATTTTGTTTGCCACTAAGTGTGACAGTTTACCTGGTATTCAATAATTCAGCAGCTGTAGTACTTTGATACAATAAGAGTTAGTGATGCTCACAGCCTAGCGTAGAAATTAGTTATACAAAATGAGACACAGACAGGGGCCACTTCACATTTGAATTTATAGCCCTAGAAACCGTGACCAAGATATATTCAATTAAATTTCAACCGAAGAAAATCTAAAACTTTCATTCTCCCTCTCATTCTTCAATGAACAATCAATCTGCAAACCAGACTGCTGACCAGTGACGCAACACCTGCTTCCCTGGAGCTCCTCAACCTCTGATTGGCTTACACAGAAAAGAAATTACGAGGTTGGGAGCCTAATTTTGCAATTTAAGTCAAAGAAAATCAAATCAATTGTGTTGTATTGAGGGCAAAAAACTGCTTTCGTAAACTAAAGAGTATTGTAAGTAAGGGAATTTGTTTTATATTCTCAACTAAAACACTCAAATAGGACTCCAACTCCAGCTACAGGTATACACACATTTCACACTTTATGCTACATATAAATGTAGTTTTGTGAGCAACATTTTCACACACAGTTTTTGCTGTAATTACAGAGGGTCTGGCTCTCCTACAGAAAAGTAATCTCTTAGTTTATGACTTGCTTGGAAATGGTCCCCAGGTGAACTCTTGTAAGACCTCTTTGACCTATCAATCTGTTGTATCTATTGGTGTGTGTTAGGTTATTTCTTTTTCTGTCTTTCTAATTATTTTCTATTTTTAAGTTTGCCATTTGTGAAATCCATTTTTAGAGACCAAATGGATCAAATACATATATTGCATTGCCTGGACTGCAGTTTATTCATTTAAGAATATATATTGACTGACAATTACATGCTCATTGATCTGAATGAATAACCTTGCGATACAATATGTGAAAAATATAAATGTTTGTCCCTTATTAGACTTTCGCACACGCCAATCTGAGAAGCTGCTGAAAATGTAGCCAAAATCCCAGAGACAGAACAAAGGAGGTTGATTTTCCTCTCATTGACTTTGGATTTCTTTTGATTGCTATAATTTGTTGGTATCAATCAACTATTTGTCCAGTAATTATTTTCTATTCCATCAGTTTTAAAGACCAAACCTGTAGAGCAATATAATTTGGCTAAATATTAGATCAAATCGAGTGGTGGGGGCCCATGAGGAGGGTTTACTAGGCTTGTAATGGGAGACTCCCCAGTGGTCAGAGATGCATGCATCCACACGGCTTTTAGCGTAAGATTCCTGTGACTGCTCATCTATGAAAAGAAAAACTATGCTGCTATTCTCCTGACCTGTCCGTGTTCACAAACAAGCCTACCACCTCCCACAGAAAAGCTGAGGAAATGGCCGGGCCAGTCCTTATAAGGGAAACAAAGGGAAAGGGAGGGGAAGAGGATGGAGAGGGGGGGTGTCTGTGCAGTGTGTGGAAATTGGAAGGCCAGAATTAGTGGGAGGTAAAGCTTCAAAGGCAAGAGCACAGCCCCCACATTCTCACTAGCTCAGGGGGATGTGGCGCCAGCGAACCAGAGCCAGCTCCGGAGCCCCTCGGCCCTATAGTTTCAGTTTCTCCTACTACAGCACTGACCAGGGTCCGGTTTCCCAAAAGCATCTCAAACTAACTGCATCACTGCTTAGATGTGGTTGAACGCATAACAACGCTGCAAATCATCAGAGTGATGCATGGCGTTTTTTGTGGTCTTATGAAGTATTGGACCTGGATTATGTATTTAGTGGTCAGTTAGGAATACTTTAATGTTGTTAAAGGTGGTTTTACAGTAAGATCTGAATGTCACATTGTCTCAATTGAGCTGCATCTGCAAGAGGAAATCTGGGTATCTGCTTGTACAACAACATAATTTCTTTATTAATCATGGCCTGGGAGAATATCCAGTTTTGATCCAACTGCTTCATCAATGCTCTAAATACAGTAAATGTGCTAAAAGACTTCAGTATTCCACATAATTAATGAACTGGCGTATTATCAATAGCTAAAATAAATGAGTTCTCAAGTCGGCTACAAAGTAACAAAGTTGGCAGTCATGGCTCATGCAAACAGCTTCAAAAATATCACTTCACTGATCACTGATCAGCTGTAACATAATAATTCCTCACAACAGCTGACCTGCTGATGACACCAGTGGCTTTTAAAAACGACTTGCTTTGCGTCAATTCCAGCAACACCTACTGTGCATGACGATAGTGCAGTGACACACACACACACACACACAAAGTCTTTTGTTTTTTTCAGTAAAATATTGATCGTTTGAGAAATGTCTGGGATTTTTAGGTAAGCGCAAGTTTAATCAGCATTGTAGCTCAACACATCAGTGTGACAAGCCTGGCTTTGAGTTTGAGTGCTTCAGTCATTAAGGCACTTCAGTGCACTGTTTTATAGTTTAGTGATGTAACCCTTGAAAAATGTGATAACACCTAGTTGCCGATTGCAACTAAGTGAATAACTGCTCGCCCCTGAAGCGTGGTCCTTATGGTGGCCCTGAAAAACACGAAAGGTCCTATCCAGAGCCATTGTTTAGTTTGTCCGTTCTGGGCTACTGTAGAGGACACTCCCTCTACAGATATAAACAGCTCATTCTGTGGCACCTTCTCAAATGGGGGTACGCATACCCCTAGGGTTACTTTGGAGTACTACAGGGGGTACATAACTTTTTTTATGTTAATTTTAAAAATATCAGTTATGCATAATTCCTAAAATAATGATAAATTCAATAAATTATGGAAATAAGTTTGATAAACGACACTTTATATTCAGTATTCTATTTTAAATTCAATAATTAACTGCTGTAAACTGTCAACTACAGTAAAACTTTTGGAAAAGAGTCTGGTCACTGCAGACTCACTGCCACAGAGAATCACAAAGGTCCTCAGTGAAGCACAAACCCAAAAAGAAGCAGTTCAATGCAACTACACTGTCGTCTTGCCATGGAATAAGAGATGGATTCTAAACATTTGAAATGAAGCATTTGAGTGTTTTATTTTATAAATCCGATAGTGATGGTGCAGCACTGTATTGTATCTCTTTATCTAGGCTTTTTTCCTAACAAATTGTGTGTGCTGGTCGAGGGGGTACTTGGCTAAAAATAGTGGGTACATTAATGAAATAAGTTTCAGAACCACTGTTCTAAGGTGGTTATTTTCAGGTGATTTCACTAATGACAACGTACCTATAAATACTATATTCCATTTCTGCCAATAGATCCTCCTATAAGTATACTGGACAGCTATTATATTATTACAGAAATGAATCAACTCATTTTAATCATTTTATTAATAGTCATAGTTAGACGGTGACTGTATAAGAATGTGTGGTATGCTTTAGTTTCTACACATCAACAACATTTTGTTACCCTAAAAAAGGAAACTTCGCCAAACCCGTCTGACAAACACGTACACAGATTTGTATTTTACATGTTTACAGGTCGTGTTCAGACTGCAGCCAACCACACCTCGGCCATTGCTTTGCAGTGTCTACCACACTGTGTAACAAATGAAAGCAGGGGCATCTATTTTAGCCTCACACTCATCCCCCTATGCTTTCCATCACCATCAACCCTGAGCATGGCGTACAGTCTTTGGCTAATCACCCTCTTGGACTTCCAGCATCATGGCTCTTCAGATCTCTTCACCACATCAGTTACAAAAAGAGGTTTATGTCCTTATGTGAACTGTCTCCTAAACCACAACTGCCTCTGCTGCCTAGAGCGTCAACTCTGCTGTTGAAAGGAGATATTTAATGATGTTCTGTCCTTTAAGCATGTTTATTCAATTCCCCGGGATCTTCTAGACTTAATGCTGCTGTTCATATTAAGGCCTCACCTCTCAGGATTCTGAGAATTGGCCTGACAGGAGCACTACAGTCACATATTGTCTCAACACAAAAATATATGTAAAAACACCAGCTATCCCTGATATTTCGCTGAGTCTGTCTTGTTTTTTGTTAATCTATCTGCACACAACATGCTGCAGAGGATTAAGATAAAGATCTGGATATAAATGGTCCAAATGATCAATACGGTCCAACAACTACGTGTGTGAAGCCTTTCTCAGATCGACCAATGAGCTCAGCCATGAACCTGCAATCGAAGCATCCACAAAAATAATTGGTGGGCTCTTGTTTCGGTAAATTCAGAACTGCAGCAGGAACGGTCACTGTGTGTCAGTGGGACTTTTTGAACAGTTTCTTTGATGCCTGATCTGCATTGTAGGCAAAACTGAATCTGTTTTGTTGATTTTTTTACACTTTAAGGGAAGTAAATCTGAGCGCTGGAATATTACTGACG